AGAGCAGCAATGTTGGGGGGTCACAGACCCCTGGAACAGCTGCCGGGGATTGTGGCATGTGGGGTGGGGGGTCACAGACCCATTCCAGGCCTGGGGAGCCCCCCCAAAAGCAGCCATTTGGGGGTCACAGACCCCTGGAAGAGCCGCTGAGCACGGTGGCCCATGGTGGGTGGTCCCGAACCCCCAGATCAGCTCCCCCCAATAGCAGCCCAGGCAGTGGCCCTGCACAGAGCCCCCCCCCTCCCCAAAAATAGGGAGGTGCAGGTGCGCGTGCCCCCCGCTCTGCTCCGCTCACCCGGCCAGGCCTGCAGCAGGTAGTGCAGCACCTCGATGTGCCTCTTGAAGTCAACGGCGCTGGCGATGTCCTCGCTGTGGGCGAAGCTGCGGGCGGCGGCAGCGGCACGCCGGGGCTCCTGGGTTTGGGTGAGCAGGACAGGCCCGAAGCAGACGGCGATGTTCTGCGAGTTCATGCGGTTGAAGTCGTGGAAAGAGGCCACCAGGCTGAGGTGGTCCAGGAGCCTCGTCAAGGTGGCCTGCGGGGACAAAGCGGCCTCAGCGGGGACGCTCTCTGATGTCACCCTTACGTTCCCACAACCCCGCACCCCAAAACCGAGCCGAAGGGACTCGCCCTGGAGGGATTTGGCTGTGGATGGACCCAGCAGATGTGGGGGTGAAAATAAAGCGTTAGATAGTGGGGGGATATAACCCCCCCCCGAAAAATGCCTGGGGGGGTCCTGAGGAGGGAGGTGACATGGGGATGTGTCCCGTGACACAGGTCAAGAAATAAGGACGCTGCAGCGGCAAGCTGGGATGGGGGGAGACCATGGGCCCCCCTTAATCCCTCACCAGAGGGGGGCAAGCCCTTTCTTGGCACTGGGCACCCACCTTTTTGGCACCGGACACTCCATTTTTGGCACCAGACACCCAACTTTTTGGCACTGGACATGCTTTTTTGGCACCAAACACCCCTTTTTTGGCACTGGACACCCTTTTTTCTGGCACCAGACACCCCTGTTCTGGCACAGGACACCCCCTTTTATGGCACTGAGCAGCCTTTTCTGGCACTGGACACCCCTTTTTTTGGCACTGGACACCCCTTTTTTGGAAATGGACAACCCTTTTTTGGCACTGGACATGCACCTTTTGGTGCTGGGTACCCTTTTCTGGTACTAGGCACCCTCCTTTTTTGGCACTGAACACCCTTTTTTGGCACCGGACACCCCTTTTTTGGCACTGTACATCCTTTTTTTACAACAGACACCCCCTTTTCTGGCACTGGACATCGTTTTTTGGCACCAGACACCCTCTTTTTGGCACTGGGCACCCCCTTTTTTGGTGCTGGACATCCCCTTTATTTAGTGCTGAGCACCCACCTTCTCCACGCTGGGCAGGCAGTCGAGCAGGGTGACTGCATCCCGCTCTCCTGGGGGGCCACGGGGGGGTCGCTTGGCCATGGCCTCCAGCACCACGTGGTAGAGCGTGGGGGTGATGAGCGGCGTGGGCAGCTCCCGCAGAAAATCCTTCAGGATCCCTGCGGATGAGGCGACACGTCAGGGAGGGTGGAGGCACCATCACCGTGGGCCCACGGGGACACTCGGGGCACCCCCCCGGGGGCGAGCACCCACCCGTGATGACATTAATGTCAGGGTAAAGCTGCTCCGAGAGCGTCACGGCCGCGCTGTCCCTCTCAAAAGCGTCACGAAGCTCCTTCTTGACGGCGGCCGAACCGCAGAGCCGGTACAACCCCACCACCTGCCAACAGGAACAATCGTCACCGCCGTTTGGGGGTGTTTATTTACCACCCCCACAGCCTGTAACCGTCACCACAAGTCTCCCGCTCACCTTCAAGCCTCGTTTCTCGATTTCGGCAACGCATTTCTGGATGAGCAGCGGCACTTTGGTGACCGTTTTCTCCCTCTCCACCAGTTGGCCCAGCTCTACGCCGAAAACACGGGGTTCCCGCTCCCCGGGACTGTCCCACTGCTCCACCAAGGTGAATTTGGAGTAGAGAACACCACGAGGTTGGAGCCTCACCGCCAGCTGCTGGGCCCGGCAACCTACGGAGCCAAACGGTGCCGACAACAACGACCCGGAGTCACCCCAAAACCCCAAACCACCCCCCAACCCTCGGTTGTACCTCTGAAAATGTGCGGCAGGACCACAGTGCCATGGCAGCAGAGACGGTTGCGGCAGGAGGTGGGATCCCAGGAAAAAACAATCACCTTGAGGTGCCGGGCACCCTCCAGCTCGAGGTTGAAGGTGTGGTTGAGGCCGAGGAACGCCGTCTTGCAGGGCAGCAACGCCGTGCGAGCCCGGTTGGCCGCGTCTACCTGCAAGACGCAAAAAACCTCCCGGGCTTCGGCCCGCGGCGGCTTCAGGTCCCTCACGCCATGGAGGTGGACGCTCACCAACCCCGAAATGTGCTGCCCGCACCGCGGCGGTGTCTCCCCGCAGCTGTAGGGGCGGAAAGCGCCCACGTCCAGCCCACTTTCCCCATCCTCCGCTTCGGTACGTGCCCCGGTTTTAGCCGGTAGCTCCGGGGAGTCGCCGTCGCTTAAGTAGCCGCCTTTGCCGGCCGCTTTGGCTCGTGGTAGCCCCGGTTGTGAAGCCACGCTGCTGTCTAGGTGGTAGCGGCTGATGACATTGCTGGATTCCTTGCGGGTTTCCGAGGGCGAGGTGCCGCCGTCCTGGCCCCGGGGACGGGGACTGCGAAGGCTCAGCTTCCTCCGTAGCTCCGGCAGTTTCTTCATCTTCATGGAGAGGCGACGGACGGTACCGGGGGATTTCACTTTGTTGAGAGAACGGCCCTTTTTGGGGCTGGCGGGGGGTGAGGGAGGGGTCAGGCCCGTCCCCAAGCTCACGCATGGGATCGGCATCTTCCCTGTAGTAGGAGGGGGCGGGGAGGAAAGGGGTCAGTGGGGTTCTGGGGGGGCACTGGGAAGGCTGGGGGTTGCTCTGTGGGAAGTGCTGTGGGATGGAGGGAGGCTCCTGTGGGATGGGGACAATGTCCTGGGGTGGGGACAGGGATTGTGGGGGTCTGGGGACACTCCCCTGGGGTGGGAAGAGGGGCTGTGGGGTCTTGGGGACACTCTCCTGGGGGATGAAGTGGGGACAGGAACTGTCGGGGGCTGGGAACAACTGTGGTGGTTGGGACTGTGGGAGCTGGGACACCCTGGGGTGGGGACAATGTCCTGGAGGCTGGGGACAGGGGCTGTGGGGTCTTGGGGACAGTGCCCAGGGGTGGGGGACAGGGACTGTGCAGTCTGGGGACTCTTATGGAGGATGAAGAGGGGACAGGAATTGTGGGGCCTGGGGACAATGTCCTGGAGCGGGGACAGGGACTGTGTGGTCTTGGGGACATCCTTGGGGACAGGGATGGTGAGGTTCAAAGGACACCGTCCAGGGAGACTGGGAAGGGACAGGAACCACTGGACAGGGACCACAGGATCTGGATGACACCATCCGAGGGGACAGGGACATGGGGTCTGGGGGACACTGGGGACAGGGACCATCAACTTTGGGGACCAGGAGACCTCACGGGGGACAGAGAAAGAACAAAGATCCCAGGGTGCAGCAGATGGGGAGACGGGGGGGGACAGGAGGACAAGGACTGCAGGGGACCAGGGGCCACCACCGTCCCCCCTCTCTCTGACCCGCAGCCGCCCCTCACCGCACGCCTGGGTCCTGCTGGCTCCCGGCTCCTCTGCCCGGCTGGAGCTCTCTGCTGTCCCCAGGCCGCCCCGGAGGGGCTCCTCCCTCCCCATCTTCGGGGGGGACTCGCTGCCACGGACCCTCTCAGCGTCGCGGTTGCCTCGGTCCCACGTTTTCCAGGAGCTCCCAAGCTGAGGGTCCTCATCCTCGGGGATGGGGTTGTACCAAATTTCACCCTCGCTGCCTGACGCGCCGGCATCCGCCTCGGCTCCGCCGCCGGGTTCTTCCAGCCCCGATCCCTTCACGGATGAGAGCACCCAGTGCCGGCTGCTCCGCTCCAAACTCTGCAGGTACGCGCCGTGTCCAGGGCTCCTACCTGGACCACCCAGCTCCCCGGAGCTGGTCACCGTTTCAGCTTCCTCCGCCGGTTCCACGTCTTCCTCACCGAGCTGCTCAATGGTGACAGGGTCCGACTCACCGGTGTCTAACGGAGGATCCGGGGAGGATTTGGGAGGCAGCGGGCGGCTGCCGCAGGAAAAACGGGCCCAATTCTGCTTGCGGGATGCTGCCGGTACCGGCTCCACCGATGCCACCTCGGGGGTCACCGGAGAATCGGAGCTCGGCGGGGGATGCTCTGTGGAAGGAAAAAAGCTGGGGTGAGGGTCCCCAAAACACCACTGGGGAGCCCACTGGGACATGGGGACCCCCCCTCTCATCTTCCCCCACCGCTCTGAGCCAGGTCACCCACTGCTGTCACCCCAAACCCGTGGCCGTGACGGACGGGACCCCCGTTTCCCGGTGTCGGTGAGCGCAGGCGGGTGTGCGCAGCCCCTTGCCAAGCGGGATTTCCGGTTATTTACAGCCGGACGGGCCCGTGGCCGCGCTCCCACCCCCCGGCAGGGCTTGGGGAGGGGGGCACAGCCGAACCCCTCTGCACCCCAATAAGGACAGGGCTGCACCCCAACGGGGACGGGGATGGCTCTGCCCGTGCCCTTTGGCTCCGTGCTCTGCCCCTCTCCCCGGGCTCCCACACACAGGGGGGTCCCCCCAAATGTGCACCCCAATTCCCTGCACACCCCCCCTCCAATTCGTGGGTGGGTGTGTGTCCCCGCCCAGGTGTCTGCATCCCTCCAACTTGGGCACCCCAATCTCCTCTGCCTTGTGCACCCCCAATCTCCCAGCACCCACAGCAAGGTGCTCGCCCCATGGCACCCCACAGACCCCCAGGATCCCCCCCCCATTGATGCCACAGCTGTGGTTTGCTGTGGGGCACCCCCAGACATGTGGGGTAGGGGCTGGAGGGACCCGAGGGTGGGGGACACCCCGATTCATGGAGGGCACAGAGGGAGCTGGGGTGAAAGGGGCTCTTTCCTTGGGGGGCTGGAGGCACCGCGGGATGATGGGGGTCCCTTCCTTGCGGGGTCCCAACCTGGGGGGGCAGAAGACACCCCAAGGTAACGGGGGAATCTCTTTTTTGGGGTACAGGACCCTTCCTTCTTGAGGGGTCCAGAAATGACCCCAGGGTGATGGGAGAGGTTTCTTCTTTGGGGTACAGGACCCCAGGGTGATGGGGGGATCCCTT